TTCTGGGTTAAGCCAAAATTCAGTAAAACAATCATGACAACACCTCATATTTCTATTTAACCTAACTTTTTCATGCACAAATTGTTAGTGGAACTGAGCTCTTTAAACAGTTTACTGTAATTTTTGCAAAACAAAATGAAAATCTGTAAGTTGAGAAATGAAAATCTGTAATTTGCAAAATGTAAATCTGTACTTTGTGAAACGAGAATCCCTGTGGAAAAACCCACCAGCTGTAAGGTTAAATTTGTCAGTTGACCATAAGTGTGTATTGCTTATGCAAACTCGAGAAGGTGAAAAATGTAAAATCTCTTAATGTACTTGCAAAATCTTCTCTAAGTTTGTGAATGAATCAGTGCATTGGCTACGAAGAATTGTGCCAATAAGCCATAAAATGAAAATCTCTAATTTGAAAAATGACCAGACATACACTTAGAAGATGTTGCTGCCAAAGGTGTATGCAGCATGTTTCTAAATGAAATATCATGCTTGGTGGGTAAATGAAACTGACTTAAGCTCTTTGATATTCTTGAACTTCAAGAATTTTTATGATTTGATTTGTATGCCAAAACATTTTAAGGGAATAATAATTGAGTATTGCAGTTTTTAACCTTGATATTGGTCACAAAGACTGGTGTGACCTTTTGACACAGAGAAATTGAAACTCAAGCTTACTTTACCTCAAGTGAACTTGAGCAAATTTGCCCTCCAAAATATACCATCAAAATGAGCTTGAGGAAAACAGTTAGTGAAACAGGCATTCTCTTTTCACATTTCACATTTCCATTTAGCAAATTACAGATCTTCATTTCCTTTCATTTTGCAAACTACAGTTAAGCCGTTTATCCCTTAGAGTGACAACCATCGAATTCTCTTTCCAGTAATATTGCCCAACCATTCATTATGATGATGAAAACTTTGATTGTTAAACAAATTCTCCTTGTCAGTACCAAAGGAAATGCATACAAAAGAGTATGGAGAATATCGATATTAATGTAAGGGTGTAAAAGGTTAACAAGTAAACTTACTTCCTTCTCTCTGTGATCAATATGATGTAATACCCCTCAAGAAATCTCACAAATCCTGCAAAGAATATCCACTTCACATAAGTTTAAGGAGAAATACTAAACTGTAGAGTGCAATAGTCTGTTCTCAAACCTAGTGGCCCAAACAATCCTGGAGCTGCAGTTAATATCAATTCTGCTCTGTTTTCCTTACAATAAATACATTTTCAGACTCCTAGTGTGAGATTATAGTAGGTTGCCCAAGAACACTTCACAAAGACTAATTTATTTTAACTAAGACAGTCTGTACCAAGAACAGAGTTGTTCAGGACCTATTCATTATTCTAGGACTCTCTCTGTCATGCCTGGTATAACAACTCTCATCTATTATATTGGGTCTTTCACTCCCTGGGTCAGACAAGAAGAAATTTCTTCCAATCCTACTAATACAAGAAGAGAGGTCAAGAACAGAGGTAAGGGATCAAATGGGAGTTCTTGTTTGTTTGATCTAAAGATAAATATCAAATGGGAGTTCTTGTTTGTTTGATCTAATGACAAATTCTCAGAGCTTAAATTAGAAGAAATGTTTATTAGATAGAGAGGAGAATTGATATTGAGATCTAGGGGATTTAGAGGTGAAAGAGTTGAGAAAAAAATAATCTTTCAAGATTAAGACTCACCTACAATACCATAGGCAGATATACTCCTGTGTAGACCTTTATTTGAACTCTCATGTGGTTTGTTTTTATTTGGCAAATTGCCAGCATTGATCATGGACAACAAATCCCTAATCTGTCTTTGAGTGTACTCAACCTAACAAGAAAAATAAAAAATGGGGTGTGTGTCACAAGGACTTCAAATCATGACCCAGTTTAAGACAAAATCCATTCAGCTTCAATATCTAAGAGGGAACCTGTCATTAATCATTATATGTTCACTTCATACAGCCATTTGTTGTTCAAACAGGACATTTGAATTGGACTTGAACATTTTAACTACTACAAATGTAGACCATGAACAGCAGTGAGAGTGTCAAGGTTCCAACACTGCACATTGTATGAAAAGCTGAATTGCACATGCATTTTTGATTGGTTCTTGCTCATGATCTATTGAAATCACATCACCTTCCACAACATTTTTCTTTTTTACCATATAAAATAGACTCCATGTTACCATGGGTCAGTACAATAACAGATCAAAGAAGACTAACGAATGAGGTTAAGGAAAATCAGAGATGCACTCAGCTCATCTGTCATCTATTTCTGAACAGACACACAGCAACACACAATCTATTTGTTTAAGTAGACTAAGCACTACATTAGCAATGTTTAGGTTCCAACTACTAACATGATAATCATTGCACTTGAAGACCTTGCAAAGCAACAGCAGTTTTTTGGGTTCAACCACCAACATCATGATCATAGCTACACATAGCAGTAGTGGTTTTTCAAATTCTAGTCATCCACATAACAAACACTACACTTTTAGACCATGTTCCACAGAGGTTCAAAAAAATCAACATAACAATTATCATAATGATTTCCTTTCAAAAAAAAATCCAAAACATACTCATGAGCAAAAACCAAGTGCAAATTTTTTGAATTAGAACACAAAATATTTGATGAATTTTAATTTGACCCATGAACATCTACATTTGTTGTGATTTGCAGTTCTGTCCAATCCATGATGGGTGAACTGTCCTTTCAAATCAATAAAGGGGTAAGTTTCTAAAGAAACTGTGGTGCTGCGTCGGTGGGAGAGTATAGCAGGTAATTTAGTGTTAACAAATGGGTTGAAAACGTAAATTAGCGACCGTAAAGGGTAAAAAAGCTGACGTTTCGAGCGTTAGCCCTTCGTCAGAGCGATTGGCCTTAGCCAAAATAGCCCTTCGTCAGATCGCTCTGATGAAGGGCTAACACTCGAAACGTCAGCTTTTTTACCCTTTACAGTGGCTAATTTACACTTTCAACCCAGTTGTTAACACTAAATTACCTGCTGTCCTTTCAAATCAGTCTGTTTGATATCCAATCACATTTGAGACTTGTGTTCTTGTTTTGAAATAGTCTGCAGAGTATGGCAGAACTCAAAGAGATCTGGTGATTTTGGTGTGCAAAACCTCAAAGAGATATCGTGATTTTGGCATGCAAAATGGAGGTTTAAAAAAGTACTTGTTTAAGCACCTGCCATACTCTGTGTGACTGGGTTTTGGACAAGAGAACTATTATCTTAAGGGAGGAGGGTATAGATTGTTCTAACACAAATACCTTAGACATGAAGAAATAAACAGAAGAGAGTAAGGAGAGTTAATAATTAGATCAAAGTAGTGAAAGGGTTAAGGAGATTTCTGAATTTGACCACTCATATCATTTCAACGCACGGGATCTTTGAGTCGCTTAGGGTGATGACGTTCATAAATGGGTTATTTACTTAAAATAGTTCCTAAAGTAAACTGTTTTGAGGCAAACCTTATCGTCGAAAAATACCAGTTCGTACGGTTCCGTCCTATCTATTTTCAAAACACGAAAGCGAGTTTCTGCATTATTCGAGCCAACGAGGAAGAACCTCTGCAAGAAGGACGAAAAAAATTGTTATTATAACATATAATTAGGTTTTTATCTCTTATCCTAAATATGATATTTACCGCTTTCGTCTCGTAAAGTACAATTCGCTGGGTGCAGCAAATTGAGTAGAGGTCCGCCATCTTGATATCTTGATGAATGTTATTATTAGATCCCAGATCTCTCACGGGCTCCGCTCCGCAACAGAGAATCGATGCGTCCTCTTTGATTCTTTCACTTATATATATATATATATCTGTACTTTCAAAAATCCTCAAGGGTACTTTAGGTGGAAGATGAAAAAGATAGTCTAATGGGGGAGGGGGGTTTAATCTCATCTGGTTTTTAAATGTGAACAATGAGTGTACAGGTGGAAATATAGCTCAGGAAGTTGAAATTGCACTCCTTGATATTCTTGGCAGGGATGTGCAGTCCACGTTCTCCAAATCTTGTCTCAATTTTTTTTTTAACCAAATCATGCCCCTTTCTAAATCCATTTTCAATTTGAAAATTCTTTACTCTTTTGCAGACCAAAACAGCTCAAAGGCCTTCCCATTTGGATTGAAATGTTCCTATTTATATGACAACCTGAAGTATACATGCATTTTGATTGGTTCTTCTGTTTGGTAATAGATGATGGAAGACATCAAAATGTTATAAGAATGTCAGTGATCCCCCTAAAATTACCTTGTGTGCCATTTTTTTGTTCTTCTCTTACTCTTAGAAACATTCTATGCCTTAGATTTGAAAACAACACAAACTACACCACACCTTGGAAAAGTTAGACTTCAGCCTTATTCACAGAATTGATTAGCTGATCAATTTTATTCACAAATGTTCCCATTATTTACTACTGCTTTAAGTACAGTTCATTCTACATTTCACAACTATTCATGAAATTAAAAGTTTACAAATTATTATGAATAAAAAACACAAGATGGTGCAAGAAATAAATTTGTATCTGTCCCTAAATTCAAAACTAGTATTTACTGTATGGTGATAACAGGGATATTTTTCCTGTATCCTGGAGAGTTGGCCTATAAACATCTGTTCAAAAAAATTGAGTTGTATGCCATGTGAAAGCATCTGAACAGCTGGTTTTAAATCGACTGGCCAGCACATGGTGGAAAACTGATATATGACTATCGTGAAAGAGCAAAACTTTGCTTTTTGATTCCAAAGTATTCAAACTAACCCCTTACTTCCAAGGGTGACCAAGAAATAATTTCTCATTACAATATCAATACAATCTCAAGCAGACAAGCAATAAGAATATGGAAATTTATAAATTAGGGGATTATTTGTTGATAAATCGTATTACAGACAGTACAGAGAATTACTAAAATGAGACCTTGGGAGTGAAAGGAAATGAATGTACGAGTAATCATTAAACTAGCTGAACAGAGTTCCATCAAATTATATTATTTCCAGGAAGCCATAAAGTTGATTTTTCTTGTAGTACATTCATATCAAATTATGTCTGGCCAATAGTCAACAGAGAAGTTAGTAGCATTTTTGCTGCAAATTAAGCAAACTGTTTTTACACTCCAAACACCATACAGAGAATTTCATGTTATCTAACCAGAGATGCCAGTGGACTGCAACCAGTGCCTGGTGGCTGTCGTTTTTCAAGCTTTCAAACACTTAATCATGTGGTAAACTTTGTCAGAAGGCTACCAAATAATTGTGTTTGATTCCAAGCCAAGTGCAAGTGGTTTCTTGGCTATTGCCTGGGATAACTACATTGACCTGCTAACATTGGTGATGACTTTGCAAGATTTTATAAAAGGTAGTTACTTTTCTGGAGGTGGTTGCTTTTCTCTGTTGGTTCCAAGGACATCTGTTTCAATATCTGAAAGATCTATATTTTTCTCCTTGATGGCCTTCTATAGAAAGAGATACAAACATTTACGGACCACAGAAATATATCACACAAGCATAAAGTCTCTGGAAGAATAACTTGAGATGAACTATTGTCTCTATATATGGCATAGAATATAGGATGTTGTTGTTGAGCTAACAGAGCCTTGGTTTAGCAAGTGATAAAAGTACCTTTGTTATCAAAGCAGAGGAGCAAAATTTCAGTTGATTCGCTCATGGACCAACTCGCCCAAGCTAACAAGCCACGCTTAAAATTTCTTTTCTATTGCCTTTAAAGTAGTGGTCATTACTAAGAAGATCCTTCTCATAATCATTTATTAATCTGCAGTTCACATATATGATTTTCATCATTCACAGTCATTAACCCTTTAACCCCCATGAGTGACCAAGACAGAATTTCTCCTTACAATATCAATACAAGATCAAACAGATAAGTGATGAGAAAGAAAAAAAATATCAATTTGGGCATTAGTTGATCCATTAACATTATAACTGAACTAACATTATAAGAATTGTATGGTTGAGAGTAAGGAGAATTAAAAATTTGATCTGAGAGTTAAAGGGTTGAGAACCAAAAACTGCTATACCATTACATATGAACACTTAGATGCTGAGATTCAAATCCCTGAACAATCTCTTTCATTCTTTGGCCCAAAGTATAACATTACATACATGACAAAAAGAAATTGTAAGATACAAACAAACTGAAAGCTGTTGTTCTGAAGGTATCCACATTTCCGCAACGGTGTTAGAAAGTGTCCATAGCATTTAAGTGTTTGTGTGTAATGGTATACCAGTTACTAAACACTTCAGTTTGTAATGCAATGGCATAAAGCTAACAAATTGATGTTGAAACTTCAATTATTTTATTATCATTTCATAGGACATCAGACCTTAACTTAAAAAAAGACTAATTCTGTAATGAGCTTGGTTTATTAAAGTGATTTTATGCATGGATGAGTTGGCGTGGGTGAGCTGGTCCAGGGGCAACTAGATTGGATACCAAGGAGCGCATGCCCACATTGTGGCTATGACAGGGACTCGACCCACCCCAGCCCCAACCCCTTCACTTCCCCTCCTAGCTACCACTCATCAATCTTCGGTGTGCAACGTAATGTAAGAGAGGCAAGCTTCTGATTAGAAAATGTTGATGATGATGAACTCATGGAATTCATTGAGGTAAAATTTCCGCACAGCCCCATACTATTGTAAAACAAATCTGTTTTCCCGATGGCAATGTATTGTTTTAGTCATTGTTTTCTCTATTCAAGAACTGAATGCATAATGAAGTATGGGGCTGTGCGGAAATTTTACCTTCATTGATAACTCGTCTACCCTCGTTAGGAAAAATATTTTCTCTTCAAGGGAAAAATATTAAGTATATTAATATATCGTGCAACTTACCAAAACACATGCTCTGTAGTTCTTGAGCAGCTCACTACAAGGATCACTTTTGTAGTCACCTTTGAGGAAGCTCTCCGAATACCACACATTGAAGCAAGAATCGTAGTCTTTCTTCAAGTCATTACACTCAGGTCCAACGCTGTTCATTCCTTAACTTATATGTATGGATGAATTAATTGCAAAAATCCACGAAGATATACTGGAACTTGAGGGTGGAAGAATCTGCGATCATTCTGCGGATTTGCATACTAACATATGTTCACGCTTTAGTTGTTATTAGAGTCCGCTGCTCATAAGGATCGATTAGTAACAATATGGCGGGCAGTCTAACACGAGAGGTGATAACTCTCCAATTTGGTCATTACTCCAACTTTGTCGGTACTCACTGGTGGAATATTCAAGAATCTAGCTTCTGCTATGACCCTAGTTCTTCATTTCAACAAGAAATTAACCACGATGTGTTGTTTAGGGAAGGTTTAACTTTACACGGCGACCAAACTTACACTCCAAGGTTGTTGGTGTTCGATTTGAAAGGAAGTCTAAAAAATCTACCAAAATATGGAACTTTGTATCAGACTCCATCTGACGGCCACGAAACCTTGTGGGAAGGGGCAGTTTCTGTACATGAATCAGAACCAGAACCTAAAAATGAATTTCAAATGGACTTGGAAGCGGTACTGGAGTCTGAGAACGATCGCGAAACAGAAGTTTCTGTCGACAATAGAACGCTTGATCAGGATCCTGTCGATAAAAACCCAAGAGAAAAGTATTATGACCTGGATAAAAATGTCTCTGTGTGGTCAGACTTCTTAGGAACCTGCTTGCATCCGAAATCAATTCAGCTTGTGCGGGATTACCTGCATGGTGGAAGCACTAGTCCATTTGATGTGTTTGGATACGGACAGTCTGTAGCCAAAGATGAACACTTTTATGATGAGTTTGAAAGCAATCTTCATTTCTTTGTCGAGGAATGTGACAGTCTACAGGGATTCCAGGTTAGAATTATACCGCTTGGAAAAATGAATTTGTGGAGAGGTCCATAGAGTGTCTGCAAGCTATCTGACCAAAGTTTTGATCATTTCGCCGTTTTGTTCATTTTATGATTTTGCAAGTTGAGACAGGTAGCTGTCTGTTTTAAGGGGATTCTCAATGCCTTGTGGATTGTAATCCAGGTCTGTTTAACCTTAATCTGGGTCCCTGCTTCTCAGTGAGGAACAGAATTGATAATAGGAAAACTGTCTACTACCCATTTTCCCTCCCCCTAATATTTTCTTGCTTTTTTTAACTCCTTCCTTCTATTTTTCCCAACCCCTGCCCCCCTTGCCCAGTGATCCGGCCTACTTGCACTTAGGAGCCTGGTGCTTGTCTAGCTTTTTGCTTGCTTAACTTTCATCTGTTTTTAGTTCAGAAAACCTGTGCTACATATGCAACCAATTAGATATAAACTAATCATAGCTCAGCCATTCACACTTTCCTGTGCCTGAGGCCATCGATGTGTCTGTAGTTTAAGTTTTCTTTGGCTTCATGTGATATTTTCCTATGTTCTGATTGAGCATAGTGAAAACTATAGTGTTAGTTTTGCACTGCTTAACCCCTTAACCCCCAAGATCATATTGTTAATTCTCTCCTGTAGCTGCTACACATTTCCTTATAAATTAGTTATGAGAACTTAATGCTAGATCAAGATAGCAGCTTCTACCTGATAAGTCTGAATATTCTGATTACCTGTTTCCTGAAGAATGTATGGATATTGTAGGGAGAAGTTTTATGTTAATCACTTCTGGGAGTTAAAGGGTTAATGCTTAAGTGTCCAGCTTCAGTTATAGACACTTCGTTAAGGTCTCTGCAATGTCTGCTCAACTGATGTCAGTTTTATATTTTGTTCCTACAGATATTCTCTGATGTATATAATGGTTTCGGTGGCATAAGCAGCCAGCTACTTGAAGACCTAAGAGATGAGTATGGGAATAAATCATTTCTTACATTTGGAGTTACACCAACTGAATTTCCCAAGGAAACACATAAAGGTGCTGTTCATAGAATCCTGAATTCAGCTCTGAGTTTTGGTCAGTTGGCATTAAACAGTGATCTGTTTGTACCTATGTCACTTGCTCAAGAGGTGTGGCCACACCTGGGACAAGCCAGGGATTTTCCTCTTTTAGATTACAAGGTGATTTAGTTTCCTTTTATGAGTATTATAGAACCAGTAATCATCTCATAAGCAATTGTTTGCTAAGGTTTTTTTTGTTTTTCTTTCCCAGCCTGCTTTGTCATACCACACCAGTGCTGTTTTGGGAGCATGTGTGGACACAATCACTATGCCTTACCGGCTCCTCACACCTCAGGCAGTCAACATGAACAGCTTTGTAAATAGTGTGGCATTTGGAGAGAGAAAGATTGCCAGCCTCTCGTTGACTTTCCCTTTGCCCATAAAAGATGCTATTCCTTTGTCGTCCCTTCTAGGCTCTACACTGAGTAGAAATGGAACAGAATTTTTGCAGTCAGTAACTCCTGGTATTTCACATTCTTCCTCTCTTATATCTCAGTCTGCAGTCATAAGAGGCATCCCGGCTTCTCTCACCCATACACCTCAACAAAACATCCAGTCCCAGAATTCTGTGTTGCATGAGAACCCATTTGAAGTTTGCACAACTGCTAGTGAAATGGTTCAAACATTTCTGCAAAATTTACACCCTCAGACTCAACCTGTGTGTTGGAATGTCAATCAAACTTTTATGGTCAAGCCTCCTTTTCCAAATATTTTCGGCTCAAGAGTAACCAATGATGGACTCGTTGTTGATGGATATACAAGATCAGAGAGTGTACGAGTGAGTCAGACAAGTGTTCTTAGTCGTCTCGAGACAAATTCTGGCATCGCTAGTATGCTTCTGTCATTGATTCAGTGGGCGAAAAGAGTAAATATCAGCAAGCATTATTTGTTTTTGGAATCAGGTACTGAAGAAGAAACATTTAAAGAAATGCTTGAAGATTTGACTAGTTTGTCTCAGCGTTACGTGAACCCGTGATACAGTAAAATAGAGAGTTCTTTAAAGAACAGATTCACTTCGTTGTAATAGCCTACGAAAATTTCGTCTGAAAATCCCAGGCAATCTCTCATCCCCTGGGTAAAATACCAAATAAAAGGAAGCGTTTCAGTTAGTGCTAGAATCTTTTTATCTTTAAATTAAAGAAAGTTTCCTCTGTCTACGTATGTAACAGTGAAGTGAAACCAAAATCTTTAGATTCAGTGACTGAAATTTCTCCTCGGTGAAATAATGCATCTTTCCCACAAAAATTGATAAGGCTTTTAGGAATTGGCAACGTCTCACGATTTTTACCTATAGGTCTCAGACTTTGCCATAGACGTTTGCTTCTGGTTGTTGTAATCTACATGAAACGAGTTCCTAAGTTTGCACACTATCTTACCGGTCGGCTGCGATGTACACCCTGTAGGAAAACTCCGGCTTTAAAACCACCTTTTCCACTTTCTGTGTCTTCGACGGAAGAACAAATTAGTTTGAACTGTTTCTGCCAGTTTAAAGAATTGTTTTTCTGTGCGAATCAGTGTAGCAGACATCTCTAATACTTGACAATACTTAACGGAAAAAAATGACGTTTGAATCGACGGATTGTACGCCACAAAGATCTACGTCAAGCGCGAGAAAAGAAATGCACGCGCGCGGTCGTTAGGGTCGCTTTACAAAATTCAATTAATCCATGATAAAATGTTTTAATTTACAAATAAAAAAAAAGCTCGAGAGATACTAGTGCTGAGCCTTGATTTTGCCCCAATAAATGAATGTAAAGGTTTCACTTATCATCCCATTCTCACGGTACTTATTTAAAAATACCCGTAATTGGCGTGGTAATTTGTTATGTACTTACGGAAAGTTTAGACTACGAGCAGTGCCATCTTTAAGGCAACGTCCGTCGGTGGAGTGAAAAAGAAGAAAAAAGAAAAAGAAAAAATTCAAGGAGGAAAAAAAAAGATCTTATCGAACTGCGTGGAACTCTGGGAGGGCTGAATTCTTTAGACTCGCACTGCGGACCCGCCGAAAAGGAGAGACTGCTCGTAGTCTAAGAAACGTTCAGTTTTCGGGTCGTTTGGAAGTACAAGTCCAGAAAATATAGCCAGAAATGTGATTTTTTTTGGCAAGAGTGTTGAAACATGTCAAGTGGAACAGTGGATTCCGCCCAAATTGACTTTCAATTAAATTTAATTCAACCAAGTTCAACCTCGTGGCAATGACCCTCAAAAGGTAACAACGAGACGGCCCATTACAAAGAAAATAAGATTACCGTCGGTATCGTGCGGGAAAACGCACGTATTCAGGGACCCCGTTTCCCATTGGAAACCCTCTTGCCTAATGGGGCGACATCAACCATAAGTAAAAAGATTCACCAGTTATATTTTGCAAGAATGACTTTACTACAGATCTGTTTACTAAATTACAACAAAAGTTAATAAAAAAAGACTCGCAGGTTGATCATGGTTGCCTCACTTGTCTTCTTCTCAAAAGATAAAACTTAGTGTGCGGAAAATAAAATACCTCGAAATAATGCTCGTTTGTTGGCGTCTCTTTCCACTCGTCACACACGGTTAGGAAAATTAATGCGCAGAATAAATACCTATGCTTTAGAAGAAACACGTCCCGACACAGAAACCTGAAAAAGCTTTACGTATCGTAGAACGTTTCATTACAGCCAAGAAGCGCGGTGCACTAAAAACCAGGCTCTATTATTTTGAATTCCACGCACAACAGTGACCTGAAAGGTTTTTCATTGGAGTCATGAGGTGTAAGAGCCCTTAACTAGAACGAAACATTGCTTGGTGCAATGCCACTGGAAAGGTATGCTATTGAACCAAAATTCTTCTCTGTTCTAAACTCGAAAGCCACAATGTGCAAAACTGATTAGCAAGTTGAGAACGTTTTTTTTCGCCTAATGGTTGTATATTGGGTAAAGAGGAAAACAAAACTCTGGAGGCATATAGACGATCTTAAGCTAGCACGCACTCTACCGCTTGGCGGTGAATCACGTTTGAAAAAAAAAAGGACTGAAACCAAGTCCTTTTGTGTAGGAGGAGGTCAGCTAAAAAATAAAGAACAACTACTAATGCTGTGTACGATAACTGCGCTATTTCAAGAGAAATATCGAGATATTAAACGCCTGGGTAATGGCAAGGTGTTTCTCTCAAAGATAGTCGGTCGGTCTGTCTCTACTTTTGAATTTTTGCCTTTTGTTAACTTTTCAGCGAATCAATCGTCGTCGTTCTCCTCCTGTCCTTCCGGTGATTTGGCGTGTCTCTGCATCGATTGAAGAGCCTTCTCTCTTAGCTTCCTCTCCAAGGTTTCTGTGTCATCTTCGTCCATGCTATCCGAGTGCTGTGAAAAAGGAAAAACAAATTTAGCATACGATTACTGGAGAACGATTAAAACAGTCATCAAAAAGTTGAAGGCCATTCCCTCATTGTGTAGAACGTATCTTAGGGTTAATCTGTTTACAACCTTAGAACCTTATAAACGACTATCCCAGAAAAAAAGGGCTCTGTCAGGGAAAACCTTCAGACAAACTAGACTCGAGAAATGCCCCTTTTATCAATTCTGACGGTCATCATGTACAAAAGAGTGCATATTACGTGGACATGTGGGCGCAAGCAACACCTGCGCGCTAATTAGTACGTCGGTGAATACGATTCCCATTTACAAAATGGAGCGGTTTTCGATGAAGTGTCATAAAGCCAAACCCAAAGTTATCACAACAACCGATGAGATGAAAGGGAAATACCCTTGGGAAATAATGAGAAATCAAAGTCAATCAAGCAAGCTGTCAAAAGCGCGGGACAACACGGGTGTCCAATTCGTGATTGGTTTAAGTTTTGCATCTGTTTGGTTGAGAGAGTGGCACGAGTTTTTTTAGACCAATCACAGAGCGAAAAAAACCAAACCCGATGCAATATTCCGGTCTACTTTCGATACTCAATTGAAAATTTCTCTTTAAGCGCAGCGTTAACACGTAAGTTACTACTAACCCCAGGTGACTTGTCCTTGTCTTTGTGTTTCTTGTGTTTTGAACGCTTATGTTTGTGTTTCGAGCTCCCATGTTTCTTGTGTTTCTTATGTTTCTTTTTCTTTTCACCTTTTGCTTCCTTTTCCTCTGGTTTCTCTTGTTCCTCAGCAGAGCTTTCCTGTTAAAGGTTACATAAACCAAGATTAACCCTTTAACTCCAAAAGTGATAAAAATGAAACTTCTCCAATAATATCCATATATTATCCGATACAAAATTCTCCAAACTAACATTATGAGAATCATCTTGAAGACAGTAAAGAGAATTACTACTAAGATCTTGGGAGTTTAAAGGTTAAGATCGCCACATAACTGACACCGAATACTATGAGAGTATTTATATTACCTTAGCAGGAGCAGGAGGGGACTTGCTAGGAGACTTTCTCGGCGGCTCTTCTTCCGGCACTGAGGGGCTTTTTCGGGCCTTTCTTGCTGAGGGCTCGGGGGATTTTTCCTCGCTAGAGGTCCTCTTGGCTGCCGCTTTCCGTTTGACCCGTTCACGTGATGGGGATGCCGAAGGATTCCTCTTGGTCGCGTGCGATTGCTGACGAGTTTCGGGTGAGGCAGGCGAGGATTGCTTGGCAGCGCGAGATCTAGGTTTGACTTCCCGTTCAGGAGAAGATGACGGCGATCTCTTTGAGGCGCGTGACTTTGAAGCCTTCGCGGGTGAGGGCTGGGGCGAGGCTGAAGCAGAACGCTTTGTACGAGATTTGGTTTTGGGGCCAGGCGAAGCAGAGGCACCTTGTGCTGATCTCCGACTTTTGGGCCTTAAAACAAATTAAATGTTGACTATCCTAAGGAAACCAGTTTTTTCATTTTCCACTAAGTTTCAATACAAAAACAATCACTGTTAATTAAGAAATAAGTAATTATCCAAAATGCAATGCACCCACAATATACTTTCTGAACCATAAACAATGAAGTAAGAAAAGAGAAGATTTGATATCGGTAGGAGTTTTGTCAACCATTTATTACCGCGCTCAAAATAACAGCCTAAACATCTTACCTCTTGGGTGACATGGACGGCGACTTTCTTTCACCTCGTTTCCTATCACGAGAATCTTCTCGAGGAGAAGCCGAACGTTTCCGATCCCGAGCATCCTCGCGAGGCGAGTTCGACCTTGATCGTTTTCTTCCCTCTCCTTTTCCTCGAATTGCGTCCCTTGGAGGAGACTTGACGGGAGACTCTCGAGTCTCACGCGTCTTTTTCTTAGCCGATGACGGCTCGGGGGAAGCAGACGAAGAAGATGATCGTTTATCTTGACGAGCTTTTAACTTCTTCGCTGAATCAGGTTCGGCCTGTGGCTTCTGTGGTGACACTGGCGAGCCTGAAGAAGACCGAGACCTCTCCGAGCGCTTTCGTCTCCGACCAGCTACTTTCTCTGGTTCTGGAGAGCGGCGACGCTCTTTTTGATCTTTTTCGTTGGCACGACGACGACCCGATGGTTGTGGCGATTCTGACCGACGAGTTACAGGAGGTGACGAACTTGACCGACGGCGTCTTCGCAGTGGCGGGGAAGGTATTCTTTCCTTTCTACGCTCTCTACTTCGTGGCGGCGATGGCTCAGGTCGTCGTCGCCTTTCCCTGGGAGATGGTGATTGCGAATGTTCTGCTTTTCTCCTCCTTCGAGGAGAAGAAGAAGGTCTCTCTTGGCGCCGTCTTCGGGGAGAAGGCGAACGGGAAAACTCTCTTCTTTTTCGTCTGGGTGGGGAGGGCGAGCGTGAATCGTCTCTCCTTCTTCGTCTGGAGGAAAGTGACTCATCTCGGGGCTTTCTTCGCCGATCCCTTGGTGACTCACTTCGTTCTCGTTCCTTTCTCCGATCTTTAGAGGAGTCAGCTTTCTTCTTCCTCTCTGGCGACCACTCTCCTTCAGACGAGGATGGTGACGGCGAGTGTTTGCGGTAGCGGCGGCTTGTCGTTTTCTTGGATTTTGGTAAAGGCGGCGACTTCTCTTTCTCTTCCGTGACTTCTTTCTCTTGTTTGATCTGAGGGGGTGGTGGCGAGGCAGAGGATGACGAGGACGGGGAGGGCTGTTTGACCGGTGAATGAGGCTGTTCCTGCTTTTTGTAGGATGATCGATGATGCGTCGGTG